GCATTGCTTTGCTCCAGCTCCTTTTTTTTTTTTTTTTGTTAACCTTGATGATGTTTTTATCATAGCTCTAGGAAAAGTTCAAAATTACATTGCTAAAGTAATTTTAAAGACTTGAGGCATATACTTGTTATCCAAAATGTCTAAATTTAACAAATATATTATTTAAAAGCAAGCAACTCTTTTCAAATTCCACATGTGATACTTTTGATCACAAGACTGCAAGTTAAGATTGCCACATCATCAAACTTAAAGCACATTGAGATGATCACCTAAAAATCAGAAAGAAGTGAAACTTTTTAAAAATAGAAGACAGACAGGGGAAAGCACTCTGTTGAGAGAAGTAAGTTCTTTTTTTTTTATCTTAATTTTCTTCTTGGTTTCTGCTATGATTAGTATTTTAGAATATATATGTGTATCTATACATGTCTTTATAAATCATATTTCTGTTCCACATCATTATCACTCTAGGGAATGTTGAAAAGGGGAGAATAGCCTTTTCCTATTAACACTGGGAAAAGTAATTAAGCAGACTAGAAGAATATGTCAGAAATTTCCCATTTAGAGATAAGTGTTGTTTTCCTTTGATGGCAGACAGGATTCCAGTATGCTTTTTGTAAATGAAAGTGGATGAACTTTTATACATTTCATTTTTCATAAATGAGAGTGGATCTCAGGAGGAGAAGTGGCAGTCAAGAAAAAACAACAAAACAGAGACTTTAATATAGAAGCATATGAGAATTAATAGTTGCCAGCCCTGTGCTTAGATTCAATTTCTATTTGGCATTTTTTGTGAGTAGCAGAAAGCAAAAAAGGGCCAGGCTCTAAGCAGTGGTATCACAGCATCTCGTAGGTCAGTGGATTCAGCACAGTGGTGTGAGCAACTGTGCATGAAAGTATAAGCAGGCCAGCATTTTCAAGTGTGGATGAAATTGGTAATTTTCCCACCCTTGCCCCAAGTGCAATCCAAGTATTTAAGGAGTGTGCCAAATCTTCATGTAGTATGCAGCTTTGGAATGCACCCTGCTTCTGACATCCCAAGCTACCAGGGCTTAACTAAAGTAATTTAGAGCAGGGAAGATGTGATGATGCTTCCACACATGATGAATCGTGTGGATGACAAGATGACTTTTTAAAAATCTTTTTGTAGTCTGGTTCCTTGATGCTAATTCATTTGGGGGGAAATTGTATTCTTTTCCCCTTATCCTGTTTTCCAAAGAATTTTAGCCTTAAGTGATTGAATATTCCATTTGCCTTTCTTCTTTCCCTTCAGGTCACTTCTGAGTCGATTGATAAATCAGGAGTTAGATAGAGTGTGTGTCTGTGTGTCTGAGCTGAGGGGGAAGTGAACCCATTTTTTCCTTTTCTTTGCTCTTCTGCCTGGTTGGCTGTCACTGAGCTCTCTGGCACAGCCTGGCCAGGCTCAGGGTCCCTGACTGTGCTCAGCTGGCATGCTGGACAAATACGGACTGGGAGATGTGCCAGGGGATGATCCGAGATGGAGGAGAGATGTCACAGTATTACTGCACAGTATGTGCAGTAATATGGAATGTGGAAGCACATATGCAGGAGGTCAGGGGTCACTCTAGACTCTTGCTCAAAGCTGGATCAACATTCAATTTAGACTGGGTTGTTTAGGGCATTAATTGGCCAATTCTTAAAAACTTGAGAGGTGGGACAGTCTATAACTTGTTTGTGCAAAGTGTTCCATTATTCTTTCTTCATGAAAGAATTCTTCCCTATATCCAGTCAGAAACAGCTGTTTCAGTTTAAGAATTTATTTTTCATTCTTCTTCCAGGCAACCTTAATAAAGGATCTAGCTTCATCTTCTCAGTCGACTCTCCCTTAAGTCTTCTTACTCCAAGAAAAAGAACCCTCATGTTCTCCTCCTGTAGGTTGTGTGCTAGAATCCCCATGACCATCTTGTTGACTTTTCCTGGATTCAAGTTTTTTCAAGCTTTTCTTGTACTGGGTGAGCTAAAGGTGCAAGATTGTAGATGTGGGCTGAGTGAAAAGGAGGAGTTGCTTCCCTTGGTGGGTTGGTTACCACTGATTGACTGTTTGCTGTAGGCACAGCCCATGGGTGCCAGGGTGCAGTGCTGGAACCTGGGTAACCTGCTGGCCTCCATGCTCTCCATGCATCCCATCAGGGCTGCTGCTGCTGACCCCAGCCCATGGCGTTCCTGTGAGTCCAGCCCAGGCCCAGGGCTTTGTTCTTCAGGAGTTCCATGAAGTCCCTCTCGTTTCACTGGCCAGGTCCTTTCCCTCTGCACTCCTCAGGGTGGTGCCATCTGCAGACTTGGTGAGGGATGTGGTGTCTCACCCCCCAGGTCCCTGAGACACCCATTAAAAGGGGTAAGTCCCAGGGAAAACTACCAAGGGACTCTATGGCCTCTGGGTAGTTTTCTGGATTTGGGATTATTATGTTGGGGGATTTTAGGAGAGGAAAGTTACTGGGATATTGCAGAGGCTGATGAAGGACAAGAATCTTTAGGGGCATCAAGTATCTCAGAGATTGTGGATGAATTTCTGAAGAGTTAAAGGGACAAGAAAAGTCCTATAATGGTTGACTTCACGTAGAATAAAATTCTTTGAGATTAGAAAGACCTTTGTTGTGAAAAAACCCCAAGATGGCAACAGTTCTTGTTATAAAAGGAGTGTGTGTGTTTTCAGGGAAGTTGGGTAGCTGTAGTTACACTCAAATTCAAAGAACTGTAACAATTACACGTTCTCACCCTTGCCTAGAATAGGACAGAAATTTCCATCTCCAAACTTCTTTTCTGGATACTAGTTAATTAAATGTCCCTTCTTCCTTGCATTTTATCTTTCAGACTAGGGTTTTCTGATTGATGGCTTTGCTTACGCGCGTTTGCGTAGTAAAATGGTGCGTGCTCAAATATTGCCAGTCTGACTTGGAGGAATTGCTCCTGCCTGTAGGAATTGTCCTCCCAACTTCAAGGACTTCATTTGCCTGGGTGGCACTTGCAGCGTTCGGATTTAATGTGTGTGTCTGCTTGCCATTACTCGTTCAGCTTTCAGCAACCTGAGTGCAGCTCGAGCTCTATTACACAGGACAAATTCGGCACCAAGAAAAGTTCAATTTATTTTTTTCCCCATGATAAAGCAAAAATTAGTTTAAAATCATATATACATCTTGCTGAAATCCTTAAGGTAACACGTGAGATAGGGAGTCGGTGATTAAGTTAGTTGAAGTGGTAACGACTTCAAAGAATCCCTAAAAATGAGCACCAGCGGTAGCTGGAGTAGAGAGCTGTGCTGGGGAGGCGCGGCTTGGGAGCGCGGTGGGGCTGTGCTCCAGCCATCACTGGAATGGGACATCCCGGCGGGACGGGATGGCGGGGAGGGCAGATCCCGATGGATCGGGAGCCGGGGCAAGGGAAGGGGCAGATCCCGGTGGTTCGGGAGCCGGGGGGAGGAAGGGAAGGGGCCGATCCCGGTGGATCGGGTGCTAGGGGAAGGACGGGACAGATCCCGATGGAGCGAGAGCCAGGGAAAGGAAGTGAAGGGGCAGATCCCGGTGGAGCTGGAGACAGGGGAAGTGAAGGGGCAGATCCCGGTGGAAGGGAAGAGGCAGATCCCGGTGAAGCGGGAGCCGGGGGAAGGGGCAGATCCCGGTGGAGCGGGAGCCGGGGGAAGGGAAGGGAAGGAGCAGATCCCGGTGGATTGGGAGCCAGGGGAAGGGAAGAAGGGGCGGGCGGGGCAGGTGCCGGCTCCCCCTGGCTGCCGCCCCGCTCCGCTCCCGCTGCCACCCGCGCTCATTTCCCCCACATTCTTTGGGAGATTCCTTTCTTTCCCACAAACGTGGGACGGTTTCTTGCTCTCGAATTTAGCCAGGGACAGGTAGGAGCGCCTCGCAAAGCCAACACTCGCTCTCGTGCAGCCGAGGTCGGCGTTTGCTCAGGGACCCCTCCCCACACGAGGGTCCCCTTGCAACTGGCTCTGTGGGAAGCACTGGCCGAAATAGTCACAGATTTCTGTGTTTTGGATAACCATTCATGTGTCCCAGCCAAACTGCTTTTGAAAGTCTTGTGTCCATTCAACGGAAAACTGACTCAGCAGATTTATTCTTTTGTGGTGGTTCAACACCAATGGTCCATACAAAATACAACTACCCGTTTTTTTCCTGTGTGAAATGCACGTATCTGTGCATGCACAGAGGAGTTTTCTACCCAGAAAACTGTCCTGCTGGGACCATGGATACCTTGGTAGGACAGTAGTTTAAATAAGTGCATACTGTCATATACCTACAAATTTATATCCTTAGTATTTATTTTGGTAAATTTAGGAGTCCTTAAGTGCTACCCGCATTCTTTTGTTCAGTAGTTTGGATGGTTTTTAAAATATATAAACACATTAGACTATAGACTGTTTGCTTTTCTTATAAACTCAGCACAAAGTGTCAAATGTCCAGGTAAATATGAATATGTATTGGGGGGACAGCTGGTGTTTCCTAACAACTCTTCTTAACATGACGTTATTTCTTTGCCTTTAATTAATAGTTGCTTTTCTTTCCCCTAAAGAATTTCTGTTATCGGTACTATGCCAGTGGTGTAGGCTAAAGGATGCAACAGAATGCTTTGGGCTGCACCCTCACCTGCTCAACACTGAAATTCATCTGCACTAATGCTTCTGAAAATAAAGGATTTGTTTTTTCTTATGTAGAACAACCGAGAACTCAGATTGTCTCGTACTCTAACATGCCTCAGTTTAATGTGCCAGGCTAAACTTCAGCAAAGTTCTTAAGTGCTTTCAAGTGTTAAAGAAATTTTCTGATCTTTCTTTTAAATGTGTAAAGCAGAGTTGCACCCTTTTCAGGGGGTCATGAGTGTGTCACCAAAGCCAGGTAAATGCACTGTCATGGATTTTTCTATTCAGGAAAATGAGGTAGTGATGTAAAGTCCTTTAGAGCTTTGTTTGTGTTTCGGGTTTTTTTCCTATGGGGGTAAGCTAATTCTGTTTTGTTTTGTTTTTTTTGCTTTAGCTAAAAAACTAGGAATTACTGATGTGCCAGCTGAGGTCGTTACTTTTATTTCCCATGCAACACAGAGCAGATTAAGGACAGTGATAGAGAAGGTGACAGTGATAACCCAGCACCGGATGGAGTCATACAAAGTAAGTGTGCCCAGGCATGTTTGTGCTCACACAGCCACGTCCTGCTCCTGCTGCACTGCTGCCCTCGCTGCAGCTCTCTGCTCAGCAGCACCGCTGCCCTCGCTGCAGCTCTGCTCAGCAGCACCGCTGCCCTCGCTGCAGCTCTGCTCAGCAGCACCGCTGCCCTCGCTGCAGCTCTGCTCAGCAGCACCGCTGCCATGGGACTTTGCCTCCTGCTCATCTTCTTCTCTCTGGGGAATTTGGGTGGGAGTTGTTTCTGTCCTTCTGTGCTGAAGTGTCTGGCACAGAGCACATGCTATGCTATTTCTGCTTGTGGATTGTGAGTAAGACCTGATTCCTGATAGCTCCTTCTTTGTCCAGGGTATCCAGGAATTGGATCGAAATTGCTTCGGTATTTAGGATTCCATAGTAACTTTTCTGGATGTGAGAAATATTAATATTTTACAAAAGCTGCCAATATTTCTGCCTTAGCAACTAAAGAATTCAGCTGTAAATTCTTCACTGGTTCTTCTGCATGATTGTATTCCTGAAGAAAACTGAAACAATTTTGATATCTCAAACCAGGGGAAAATTTAAATAAAAGTCTACAAACCAGTTAGAAATTCAAATAAATTAAACATCTTTCTTGATCTGTTTGAAATACCTTCTCCAGCAGAAGTAAGATGCTTGTTAGTTATTGTAGTTGTTACACCGGTGTCAGAGGAAGGTGTGTTGTCTAAGCTGTGTTTAGATTTCTTTAGCATATATATATATATATATATATATATATATATATATATATATATATACACAGAATAGCTCTGGTTTAGTTTGTTCCTTGGTTTTGTGGTGTACTTTTTTGTATTTTTGGAGTCGCAATCTAGTCAAACAGCTTTGGACTGTGTCTTAGCCTACCTATTTCCCAAACCTGGGGGCCCCGTGACCTGAGTCATGGTTGGACTAATTCTATGTGATATTTGCAAAAATAATAATCTCTGAGATTTGTGACTATAATCAATGTCATTGTGATGGAAAAATGGATTAAAAACTAAAGGCCACTCTTCCTGGTTATTACCTACATGTAGATCTTTCATTGCAATTGATGGATATATTCTACTATATTGGATTAAAAGTAAAATATCCTGTTTTCTTTTCAGTATTCTTTATTATTTTCAGAAGTGTTAAGTCCCTCCTTCCTTCTCTCTAGGATGGTGTCTGAGAAGAAAACAGTTTGCTTAGTCCATGTTAAGCCAAAGAAGAATTTAAAACAGTGTCTTAAAAGATCCTTAGGAAAAAAAATTGTGTTGTCTCTGATTGAAATGTAGCATTGCCACTGTATTCTGTATTTTTCTTAGTTAATGCTATTCTTTGATTTCATAGCATGGTAGTCAGAAAGGAGAACATTAAGTAGATAAATGGGATGAAAGTAATGTGGATAACTTATTTTTGGGACTGACATTCTGAGTGTTCTCTGTGTGGCTCATGCCATAAACTCTCCTGGTTGCTGTGTGCTAGGAAAACTAGCACACTCTTAGTTGTCATAAGATTCTGTTTTAATTGGAGTTAGAGGGTAATTCTCAACTGAGTTTTTAGCTTTAATAATGCTGCTTCTTGAGAAAGTCTGTTACTAGTTCGAGATTAGTACAAATGCAGGAATTATAGGTTATGAACCTGGTTATAAACTATAGCTGGGATTATTCAGTAATAAAGTCAAGCATTTTAGATGTTTTCCATCATTAATTCAGTTGGTTTTACTTTTTTTAACTCTTTCATGTATCTGGTGCTGATAAATCAATTCTTGTTCTTTTAAAGTTGCTTAGATATTAATTAAATTACCAAATTCTCGCTGTGTTATTAACCATAGGCTGGCTTCATTCCCCTGAGCCTAAAAAGGAAACATTTTATTAGTGGTACAATGGAAAGATTTCAGTGTGTGACGCTTAGAGCCTTTGGATGCATGGTCTGGGTGAAGTGGCTGTTCTTCTGAAGGCCTGTCCCTGTTTTACAGGATGATGAGTGGTACGAACAAGCCACAGATGTCCGATCCCAGCTGAAGTTCTTTGAGCAGTTGGAGCGTTTGGAAAAGCAAAGGAAAGATGAACAAGAGAGGGAGATTTTGCTAAAGGCTGCCAAGGTATCACTTTCACTGTTTTTTAGCTACTTAATAATCCATAGCTTTCAAACAATTGTTTGATTTTGTGATCTGTGTTTCCTAAGCACATTTGGTTACAATAAGAAAGGTGCTGTTGGTGTGACACCACACCTTGAACTCGTGGTCAGGCTCTGTGCTGACTCCAGATCCCCCTGCCTGGGGTGCCTCTGGTTTCTCCACATACAGCTCTGAACTTGATGAGTTCTTGGGAACACGGGAGACAGTGGCTAACACTTTCAAAATAATTCTGTGAAATTATTTTTACAATTGCCTTTGAAATTTAATGGATGCCAAGGGTTTCTGTGCCACTGGAGAATCATAGCTTACACTTCTGGCCTTTATACAAGTTCAGCACATTCTGATTAATTTTTTTAGAGGCTTTTTACTTCTTAGGTTTTTAGACTTTGTTTTTAAACAGATTTGTTCATTTGTTCATCTTCATTTGAATGTGTTCCAGTCACTTCTCTGTAACTGCAGTATTTGATTGGTTCATGCCTGTCTTCAGTTAACTGCCAGTTCTTCTGCCAGGACTTGTTCCTTTGTAACTTTAATTCCAGAGACTGAGTGTTCATAGAGTGATAGAACAAACTCAGATTATATTGTTTCAAGAGCACATAAGTATAGATGAGTCTCCTGCTTGTAACTGTAAATTTAATCATATATATCGTATCTAACTGCAAATAAGTTCATCCCTTAGTTATCCCATTTTTAATTGTACTTGAGTCTTCATTGAGTTATTTATTGTATATTCTGAAGAGGTTATACAGAACAACTCAATGTTTAATTGTAACAGAGCCTCCTGATTTTATGCCATTAATGTTCACAAATTGAGATATTAAAAAATAAAAAAAAAACCAAACCTTGCTTGTTTTGAAATCTATTTCTCAGTTAGGCTACTTTAGTCTGTCCTGTTTGTACTCTTAATTTGTAATTGTTCACATTATGAAATAGTCCACAAATCTTTACACATCATAGATACTCTTTAAAAGTTTTATAAAAACATATTTGCTGTTTTCATTCCTAATTTTTATTTATTAGAAATAAAGACATGCTTATTTATTTTTTATCATGTTTTCTTCATTCAGTGACTGCATCTTGGTGAATCATTTTCTGTGTATTCTGCTGCTTGTTAGTTTCATTGTTTGTTGTTTTTTTTAATGGACATTGAGAAAAATGCAATAGCTTATAGACCTTAGTTCAGAAATGTTTCCCTGACTGCACAGAGCCTTATGCAGGCTGGACCTCCTGGTATTCCTTCCAACCTGAATTCCTTCATGAATTGATACCCTGTGTTTTGGACAGTTTTTTTGTTGTTGTTTTAGCCTTGGATAATATGAAGTCCTCTGAAGTCTAAATTTAGGAAATAAACACCTGATCATCAGGTTTGATTCCTATAAAATGCAGGAAGAGCAAATTTAAGAATTCTGCAACAAACAAAAAACCCAAAGTAAAAGAATATTCTAATTTATTTGAAAAAAAATTACCTTAATGAAATTATTGAATGCGTACTTCATCTTCATAACCAGGAGACAGCTTGGAATAAATACACGAAGGTGAAAAATAAATGAGGGTGTTAAAAATCCAAAACCAAAGCACAGGGTAGCCATCAGCAGTGCTGATTTATCAGTATTAATGTTTAGAGAGGGCAGTGAAGACACTGTGGATCCCTTGGAAGGTGCTCATGCAGTGTTGTGATTTAAGTGTAAATGCCATTAGGAGCTGAGCTTGCTTTGTTTAGCTGGTGCTCCCCAGTCAGTTCTGATGGATGACTGACCCAGTGCAAGGCTTACCTAGGACATAGTTTGGTAAAATATGGTCAGAATACAATTTTTTATCCTAAATAATAGATTTTGTATTATGTCCTTAGATTCTCTGGTGCTGCTCAAATGCAAAAGCACCTGTACATGAACGGTGATAGTTGTTGAGGTCTTTATTCTGAATTCCTGTGTCCTGATTCCTTAGCCAGGATTTGGGGTTTTTCTGTTTTTTATGAACGTGCCTTGTTGTCTGAGGAGATCTCAGCCCCTGTGGGAAGGATGCAGTCATTGTAGTGACACAAGAATGAAATGGACACAGTTAAAGTCTGCCCTGGCTGCCTGGTGAAGTGACACCCATCAGTACCCACTTGTCTCTGTCTGTGGCCTGGTGACATTTGTGTCTGCAAAGGGGGAGATGCTTAAACTGGCTCTGGAGGCTCAAACACCCACCATGCAAAGGCAGTGTGCCCCCAGTCACAGCACCTTTGTCACCTTGAGAAGCTGTCTTTAAAATACCAAAGCTGTCTTTAAAATATAAAAAACTTCGGCATTTAAAGTGAAATTTCTGTTTTCCTTCCTACAGATGGTTAAATCTAAAAATAATATTTATTTATAACTGCAACTTCTTAATGTTTCTTTTAGAGAAACAGCATGATCTTTTATCTTGGAAGTGTTTTGACAGGTTATTGTGCAATATGTTTTTAAAGTTACTCAGCAAAACCATTTTAGTGAAAGTTTCAAACTTTCCTTTTGGTGGTACCTCATCTACTTTCTTATATGGAAGAGCATAAAAAGGTTGAACTTGCACTGTGAAAATTCTTTTTTAATTATTTACACTTTGGAGTATTACACTTCGGAGTACACTTTGTTAACAGCCATAGTCTGGGTTTTGATGAAGAGTAAGATAGTGAAGGAAATGTTTTGGGCATTGAACCAGATGGTGTTAAATAATCTACTTTGTAACAGGATAATCAATGGAGAAGATAATGAAAAATGCAGGAATAGGTTGAAATCAAAGGGGAGGCAGCATGAGTCTTTGGGAAGCCTTAAAACTGGTCTGGTAATTTAGCATTGCAGTTCAGTAAGGGGTTAAAAAAAAAAGGTAAATGATGGCCGAAGAAAGTGTCAGGTTTCAGGTTTTTATTGTTTGGATGGGTGGGTTTCTTTAGGAGGAGAAGGGAAAATATTTGGCACATGTGTTCTGGTTGATCTGCAACCATGATTTCAATTAGTAGGAAATTATTGCAAAATTTGTAAGCACTCAGATGGGCTTGGTTTTGCTTCAGGAAATGTTTTTGGAAGAAGGAGAGATCAAGTCAGATGAGAAGGTAGAAGGAAAACAAAGTTAGGTTTCAAAAAATAAAATTACTGATGTTCTGAGAAAAGTCACTAAAGTTAAAATTAGCTGTGGCACTACATGAGTGTCTGTGAAATAAAATAGCAGTGTTGTTTAGCTTGTTAAATGAGAGAATTTTACAAAATCTTACGTCCCATGCCTGGGAAATACTTGAGAAATAGAAACTTAATATCAGAAGCTGAGAAGCATTGTGAGTGATGTTCTCATTCCAGTGGGATATTTTGGGGGGAAGACAAACTTGTCAGGAAAGGAAAAATAGTATGCTGTAGTAGCAATGCAACATTCAATTTCTTTTACATTAAGAATCTGAAAATTGAAACTACTACCACTACTCTGTTGCAAGACCAGAATGACCTCCTGCACCTCAGGGATCCTGCATCATATTCCACAACATTCCATAACCTTCCACAATGTTTCAGAGTGTCCCACAACATTCCAAAATATTCCACAGCATTCCCATACCAGCCTTGAACATGTAGCCCAAAGCTTTTCTCTAATTTACTTTCTGGAAGCTATTTTTATTGTAGGAGTGTTAAAAGGCATCTTGGTCCCCAGACTGTGAGATCCAGGCCCCTCCTGCTGCTGGAAGAGCTCCTGTCTCAAACCCCCAAAAAATGGGATGTGTCAAAAGGAGGAGCTGTGCAGGGAGAGACTGAGCTGCCTTGGTTGTCACTGATTTTGGGTTTCCTTTCTGACATGAGCATCACAGGCAAAAAAAAAATGGCACAAGGAGGGACCATCTTGTGTATAAACACATATGTAAAGCACAGCTTCTTTAAAGGAAATATTTAGGAGAGTCAACCCTCGGCCCTGGTTTGTTTTGCCAGTGGGAGCCACTGGCTGTTGTTGCCAGCTGTGTGCAGAGCCAGACATCCTCTCTGGGCCTTTGGGGATGGTACAGGCAGCTGAGCAGAGTCTTAAGGCTGCAGAAAGGTCAAAAGCCAGACTAAAATCACTTGAGGAATTTACCTTTACATTTGACATGGTGTGTCTCGTGCAGATTTTCAAAAAAGAAAAACAAACCAACAAATAACAAACCCAAACCAAGCCCAACAAAGCACTGGTATTATAGTAAAACTGTGTTCTTGCTGCTTTCAGAGCTGTTTCCAAAACCTGGAAGATGCAGGTGGTGTCTGTCAAGTTGAATGCAGTTCTGGTTCTCGGCTAATAATGGAAATATTTCTGGCAATAGAAGGAGTAGGAATTTGTAGCTGATTTGTTGTTGTTTTGCAGTTTTTATTTCTGAATTTTATTTTGGAGGGAGTGGTGACAGTAAGGGGTTACAGCTTGGGATTGTCCTGGCTCTCAAAAAATGAATGAATCATACTTCTATGTTATAATGTATGATAAGGTGGATCACATTAAAATTAGTGTGTTAATTGATCTGCTCAAACTGGCTGAATTCCTGTGTATTTTATTATAAAATTGATGTTGAAATTTAATTTCCAATATAGTAATTTATTATTATTATTGAGTGAGATTATTATTTTGAGTATATTTTATTATATATTTGAGTGTTATGTATTAGTAGCACAAGTCTGTTAAGTTCTGGGATCTTAACTACAACTATCACAAGAGTAAGATGCATTCTGTAAAAAGAAAATTTACATAAGTAAATGGAAAATTATGTTTAAAGTTGTTTGTAAAGTTAATTACCATTTAAGGATGATTGGGTAGTACTGTAGGTGGAAGGGCTTTTTTATTGAGAGATCACTGAAATTTGGTGCTGCAGATTCCCTTCCACACATGTGCTGGGAGGGGCTCTCCCCGGGTCTGAGGTGAGTTCAGGCATTCCATTTCATCCTTTCCCTCTTTCTGAGAGCAGCGATTCACTGCAGCCTCCTGCCTGCATGAGCACTTGGAACTCACTTCTGATGGGAGCAGAGCAAAATGGGAATTACTGCGTTGAGATAATTTCTGAATTTTTAGGAATTTGTTACTGCAATTTTAATGATTTTAATATAAATCATTTTTCAGACCTGTGCTTCTGCATTCCACCTCACTGTGGTCGTAACGCTGAGCAGCATTTTACCCTCAGCTATGATGCTTTTAACTTTCACTTCTTATTAACAAAGCTGACGTGAAAGCAAAGTGTTTCATGTTGCCAATTTAATTTCTTTAATTAAAAGTGGAAGTTATAAGCTGGTACAGCCGTGGGTGAAGTTCTAATGTCATCAATTGGGAAAAATAGGTATAAAATTGAAACTGTTGGCACAGCAGTGGCTTTTGATAATGCAGCACCTGAGTTGTGACTCTTAACATTATTTAATGCAAGAAGGTGAATTTGAGGCATTCAAGACCCCCAGTGTGTATATTGGTATGGGGCAGTAGAGCTGCAAGTGCCTTAGTTGGGATCAGATGTAGCTAAATGCAGGAGAGACCCTGTGAGGCATTTCCCAGCACAGGTGTAACAAGCTGAGACTTTCAAGTCCTTACAAATCTAAACAGAAAACTTATTTTTGTTAGTGTTAGCAACAGTGCAGCTTTGACATTAATAATCAAGCAAAGTATTGAATAATTATGGTAATGAAACACATCAGGAGTACTTTTAGTCTGTCCATCTGCATAGATGCAGAGTATGCTCCAATTTAAAAAAAATTGGTGCATGTTTATAAGTATGGTGTGGTTATAAATACCCTTATAATTTTAAAAACACTGTTGCTTTCTAATTTAAGACAATTCTGTGAAATCTGAAATACCCTTAAAACGACACTGTTCCATGTGTAATTAGATGTCTCTTCTGTGGCCTCCTGCCTTAACACAAGCCAGGAGAAGAGCTGAGGTTTGGAACATTAGGGAGTTTGGTACATGTAAATGAAGCCCCTTATTTCTGTTGTTTTGAATACACACATTTAACATAGGCTGCTTTTCATACTTTGGAAGTCCAATATTTCCATAGACCTAATGTGATCTATGCAGTTTTCAGTTTCCAGATAAAGAACTCTCTAACACAAAGCATTTGGTTCTTCACAATTAAAATATCAGGTTGTCTGGTCTAATAAAATAGCTGGTGTTTGGGAGAAATGTTAGCAAAGCTGGTTTGCTGAATACATTCTCAGTAGGAGACAGCATTTAATATATTTAGAAATATGTTATCTGCTTAGGATCAGTCCTGGGTTTCTGTAAAATTGCTATGGGAAGCTTGCTTGCTTTTAAAGGTGTTTATTCATCAACAGGAAAATACATTATGTAAATGCAGCCTGCTGTATTTACAGATCTAGACATGATGAACAGGGAGGGGAAGGCAAAGGAATTGTGATAAAGTCCTTGAAAGGATTTGATTTGGTGGGTTCTCTGATTAGTGGGTGTTTCCAAAGCTTTGGAGGAAGGAGACATTGGTGCATGAAAAGATTTTGGAAAAAAACTTTTCACAAAACAGGTGAAGTGCTGCATATTAAGATTTGGATGTTAGAAATAAAGGAGAAAGGAAGAGAAAACTGGAAATATGAATTAACTGGAAGAAAAAAGTTAAACTGCAATTTAAAAAAAGCTAGGAATGATTAGTCAGTTGTTTGACAAAAGTAAGTGCAAAATAGTAAAATAATTGCTTGGTGATGTTGACGTGTAGACAAAGCACTACAAGAGCTGAGCAGCAGCAGAATTGTGCAAACTCTTCAGAGGAAGGGAGAGATGTTCACATGTGGAATGGAGTGTAAAGGGAATCCAGTGACATTTCTAAAGCTCATTTAGGCACCTCTCTTAAGCTTGACATTTGCATTTGCTTATATTTGCTTTAATCCATGTTGCATGAACATGGGTGAAGCCTTTTATAATTTACATTAGATCATAAAGTGAAGAATTAATGAGATAGTTGATGTTTATACTTGTCCTTTAATACATTTTAGCCTCTGTATGCTGATGATTTTATTTCCAAAGCTTACTGTCATGGTAACCAGCAGGAAAGTATTTTAGTCTTAGAAATCTGCTTTAAAAAAAAAATCTGTTAAATTTTTTTCTGAACACAACAAAGTTAAATTCCTTAATTTTTTTAGTAGTAGTGATACATCCAATGTAAAATTTGAATTCTGCTTGTTTGAAACAAGAACAACCCTGGATTCTTTAGAAAAGCTCTTTGGCATGGATTCAAGCAATAATTAGAAAATCATTCCATTATTCTACATGTAAAAATAGTTCTATCTTCACCTTCAGTCTGGGTTATATGTTTAACTTCACCTGGTATTTTATATACGTTCATTTTTGAAACAAGAGTCCTGTATTTGATATTGTTCAGGAGCTGAGCACCTGCTTTCATCTCTGCAATAATTTTTATTGTATATTTACTGTGAACAAGCTGGAGGTTTACACAGAGTAGGTGATTTGCTTTTGCATGTTGAGACTATCCTGAACTCCAGATCTGCTCCTATTTGGTCAGTTTCTGGGGAAGAAAGAAAAAGCCCCAACTTTTAAATGTGTTACTTTACTCTGTAGCACTTGCAGAGTTTTTCCTTCACTGATGGAGCCCAGGAAATTGCAATGTTACTTTGCATCTCCTGCTTTAATTTTTCTTACACTGTCCCCAAACACTACATACTTGTGGTGTATTTTCCAGGATTCTATCATTTCCTTGTAGAAAGTCAGTAACAATATTAGAAGTCTTAGCTGGATTCTCTCAGGACACTCTGCTTCCTCCTAAAGCTGAAGTGCTTTCAACTTGTACTTTGCATTTGGCGAATTCTCAGCTTCATACAGTAGTGTAACAGTACTCTGTGTTTCTGTGCTGCTTTCACTGTGAGACTCACAAGTCACATTGTACATTTATAAATTTATCATCAAAACCTGTGAAAGGGCTAAATATGCTTTTCCTTGCATCATACTGGAGAAACTGAGGCTCCAACAATTAAATTGTTCTTGCAAAATGACAGCAAAGACCTTGTTCAGCTCAGTTCTGAGCCCATCTCCTAGAGAAGCAGCTCACTGACTGGTGTTTTTTACTTTGGTTTTTAACCTAATTGTATAAATATAGTCAAGTTCTTAGTAATTGCTGTGTTGGTTAGAAACCCTGCTCCCTGGCAGACCCACATATTTCATTAAATACCTTTTTGTCCTTTAAACATTAACTAGGTCACCTTATCTACGTTTTTCTTTTTGTCTGGCCACAGCAGTTAGAAGGAACCTCAGCCTGTATTGGCGTGGCGTTTCTTCCTTGGTGGCACAAGTCTGATTTGGTCATTGGCCATCTGAGATCTCAGTTTGGCATTCAGTTGCTGCAGACACTGCCCTGTCCAAGAACCTCTTATGCCAACAGACACAAAAGCACTTGTAGATGATGTTGGAAGGTGAAGCTGATGTGCACACTGGAAGAGTTCAGCACATCTAAAAATCTCATTATTGTTTAATGTCACCCTGTGTTATCAGCACAGTTTTATAGGTGTGCTATATTAGCTGAAAAAAAAATACTCCCAGTTCAAATAAAACCAACCGAACCCACAAAACCCACAAACCCACAAAACTGACAGGAGAAAGGATACAGAATTCTGTGCCAAATCAAGCCAAGGTGCTCTCCAGGTGTATCAAAAATAGTACTCAACCCTTTTAAGTGCAAGCCCTTAAAACCTATCTCCCTTTGGCTTTCTTAATGGATTTTTGAATTCTGACCAGAATATGGTATGAAAAATTTAAACACTGGAAAAAAATCTGAGAGTATATAACTTTGCGAACAAATATTCTTTCAAGTTTCTGCCTTCAGCATAGCAACAAGCAGGGAATGACAGGTAGGAGAGGGCACAGACACTCCTTCAGGAGTTGGGTAAATGATTCCACTTCAAATCTCAAAGAAATACTGAAGTAGAACTACCACATTCCTCAGATATCAGGAACAACAGTTTTCAATGGATGACACAAGTTTTATTGGAGCTTCTTGTAACTTTTTTTGCAACATTTGCTGAATGCTGACCCATCACACATTTATAAAAGTATGAGTGTATTATCTGCCTCTTGAGTTTTGAATTCCATCAGTCTGACAAGCGAGCACAAAGATAAATTTAACGGGTTTTTAACATGTGGTTATAAAGTACTCTGTGTCGAAAGAAATATTACAGGTTGTTATTGTAATTAAATTATCTGCTTTTAGAGCTGTTCCTGGTTTTGAAGGAAAATACAAAAGTTGTCATTCAGCAATATTGATCCAGTTTTAAAATTTACAATATTAATATTATTAGTAGTGCATGAATGGGTTTAACAGAGTGTATTTCTATGCTGTACTCAAAGTAAGCTCATATGGAATAGTAATAATAAAGATTTACCTTTTGGGAGGGCAACTCTACAATGGTTTTCTTCATGTTCTCTACGAAGAGCTAAATACAAGCTTAGTTGCAAATAGTAAATTTTAAAATATGTGATTGTAAGGACTTAAATTAAAAAGTTTGGATAATGAAAAGGGTGTAACTGATGCTTTTGGATGCTTGAATTTATTAGTATTAAATAATTGAAATCTAAGCCTGTATGGAAATTTCATGTTGACAAAAACACGGTTGGGTTGGGGTTTTTTTTTGTTTGGTTTGTTTTGTTTGGTGTTTTTTAAATTCAGATCTTCACTATATCTCATTTACAACTGAGCATTTAACCTCATTTTGGGTGAGGCTCATGGGTTTGGAATTGCACTTCTGTGAATTTACGTGTCCCATGTTTGATACCTTGTATCCTGTTCCTATTTCTTTGCTATTTTTTAACTTACTGCAACAGATGAGGGGTTCTTAAACCATCTGTTAACCTTTTTTCCCCATTTTTTTTAAACATGTAGAGTCGCTCAAGGCAAGAAGACCCAGAGCAAGCTAGACTGAAACAAAAAGCAAAGGAGGTAAGCAGAGCTAGAGATCATTACACTTGACATTTCAAGGCTTGAACATATTAATTTTTTATGCCTTGCTACTTGTATATCGTTAATAAAAATCTGACTAAAAACTTTTTAGGATGTATTTGTTGCTTCGCCTTTGATCTTAATGTTTGCAAACTAATACATTAATACATGTGAAGCCTAAGGAGATTTTATAAGAGAATATTTCCATACATTACATTTTCATTTCCATTTTAGGTAGCTGTAGCTTTTGTTGGGTTGTTGATGACAGCAGCTCTAGATTTTGGTGGAAAATATATGCCTTTGTCTTTTTGTAAAATGTCGCTTTCTTAGAAATGTGCTACTTAACCATTTTGTTCTTGTAACATTCTTTCAAGTAATGTAATTGCCAATCATTTTCTCTATCCTGTGATTCAGTGGAGTGTTTACTCATTTGTCTAAATTACAATAATCTAAAAAATATCAAATAATTTCCCATGAAGCTGTGATGTGTTACTCTAAGAGTACCTTAATTTGCTGTAAATGAGTGAGTGTCCTTTGCTTAAGGCATCTCATGCCTTAGGATTGGGTTGTAACTTAAATCAATTAGAAAGATTAAAATATCCATCAGTTGAAAGCAATTTCAGCAAAATGATGCCATTCTTTTTAGCCAACTTGTTTGGATATACACATTAGCAGGTAATAATTATGTACTGGAAGGTAAGATATACAGAAAAATGCATATAGCAAGTCCTTTTGTATTGACCTGTTCTTCCTGTTTTGTTTCCCTCTTGGCAGTATTCTGGAGTCCCGTTAGCTACACAGATTTTATGTATATAACAGTCAAAAAAATCCAAATACATGGATGAGTTTTATTTATCTTCATTTCATTCTATGATTATGTAGTAAGACTTGCTGAAATGAGTTCTTGTAAACATTAGACCAGGCCTTACTGTTTCCAGAGCTGGATTTGTCAAGCAAGTATTGAAATGAAATACAGTAATCAAGTTATTTGGCAGGAAAAGAGGCAGGATTTTAATAGTACTTGGGTTTTGTATGCAGCCAGTGTATGCAAAGAAAGAATCAGATTTCTGAGAGCAATTGGTGGCAGGCAGAAAGGGCTGTTGAGCTGAGAGCTGAAGGTGCCGTGCTGCTGGAAGTGAGCAGAGCTGGCATTAAATGCATTGCTGCCCCATCAGTGTAACTTTCCTGGGCATTCTTTCCCGACCATTGGAAACTTGAGGAAGTGAAAGACGGGGCTAGTGAGGCGGGTGTTGCAGTGCTCAGGGTGGAGCAGCTGTTGTGGAGCAGCCGCGGGGCACTGGCGGTGCGGAGGCGGCGCTGGCCGGGGGGGAGCCCGGCGGCTCCGAGGGGCGCGCAGGGCGAGGGCTGAGCGAGCACATCTTCGGGGACTCCACTGGAGGGACTGTGCTGGCACTGCTGGCTTCGTCTGGCCACTTCAGGAGCTCCTCAGAGGAGCTTTGGGCACCCGGGCTGTGGTTCCAGTGCTGGCTTTGTGTGGGCACTGCAGAAGGAGCTCCTTAGAGGAGCTTTGGGCACCCGGGCTGTGGTTCCAGTGCTGGCTTTGTGTGGGCACTGCAGAAGGAGCTCCTCAGAGGAGCTTTGGGCACCCGGGCTGTGGTTCCAGTGCTGGCTTGTGTGGGCACTGCAGAAGGAGCTCCTTAGAGGAGCTTTGGGCACCCGGGCTGTGGTTCCAGTGCTGGCTGTGTGGGCACTGCAGAAGGAGCTCCTCAGAGGAGCTTTGGGCACACTGGGCTGTGGTTCCAGTGCTGGCTTGTGTGGGCACTGCAGAAGGAGCTCCTCAGAGGAGCTTTGGGCACCCGGGCTATGGCTGCAGCTCTGGCTGGGTCCGGGTGCTGCAGGAGCTCCTCAGCCTGGCTGCTGCAGGCTCTGCCCTCGGAGCTGGCCCTGCCTGCTCACAAAATGCATCATCTGCTGGCACCACTGCAATGGAATTTCATTCTGCATGTTTGAAACCATAAGAAACGTCTCTGGTTTTAGTAATCAGGGTTCTGAAGCTCCAGAGACTTTCACTTAAATACTAAAATTTACTTAGTAAAAACATTTTCTTTTGCGAAGGGGAGTGGGACATGGTGCTAGCAAGATGTTGTTTTAAGATTGTTCATATTTTTTTCTGCACTGGTCACTGGATATATCCTGACATCTTAAATTATTGGCACCGCCAAAATAAAATAAAAAAAAACCAAAACATTTTATAGTATAAAAGGTTGATGAGAAGAACTGTCTTTGGCATGGATTTGTCATTTGAAATTAAAAGTTTAGAATCAATGTCAACAAAAATGTAAAAAACATTCAAAACTTCACTGCCACCTGGGCTACTCTTACATGTGTTTATGACCCATAGCTCAGAGAGAAATTGTGTTTCTTTCAGCTTTTGTATAAACTGATGAATAAAATACTGCCAGCTTCAATAATAAACTGGATTTGAAGCTGTGATTCCATGATTTCTGTGTCTTGAATATTGCCTGAAGACCTTTGTTGCACAGATATTCTTGTGGCCTATAGTAAAGTGGTATTGGGTAGTGTTTTAAAAAGCACAAAGAAGGCACCCAAGAAACCTGCAGCTCTTCTGGCTTCTATTACTTGTTTAATGATACGATTGCCAGATAGCTTGTTTTTTCATTCCAGCAAAACAGCTGGTAATACCATTATTATGTTCTGAAAATGGATAATGGTTCAGGCTTTAATCAGTTTGAACAGTGACACTACTGACAGAAGTCAGAGAGAGAAAGTGAAGTACCAAAAGAAGTAATTTGAAGTCTTAAAGTCTTTTAAATCTTTCCTTAAAAGGAAAAAACTATCCAAAACATTGAAGGAACTCTAGAAAACGCTGTCCTGGAATGCAAAATAAAGGTACCAATAGAAGGATAATAGGATGAAGAAGAAAGAAAGAAAATTAGGAAAGGGTATTCACTCCAAAACATTCTCCTTCATGGATATTTTGGAGTCTTCATTCTGTAATGCTCTGTTTTTCTTCCAAATTTAAGAAGAAAAAAAGATTAGCTCAGTTTCTTTCACGGAACATCTACCAGTTGAAAAATTCCTTCTTGCTTCTTAGTGCCATAAAGACAATGTAAGTGGAATCCTTTGAACACATTTTTAAATTAATTTGATTAGGTGAAGATTATATTTTTTCTCTGTAATTCCATATTGATCCATTTATTAGCCTCTTCAAACCATGTTGTTTAAACCAAATTGGCATAAATCAGGTTTAAACTGCATTTAAATACTTACCCAAACAAAGGGAAGCCCCATTATTGCAGAGACAAGACACAACACTCGGGTTTCATTCACAGCCAGACCAGCACTGTTTTAGTTAAGGCAGTGCAAACCCACTCTGATTTCAGTCTGAGTGACTTATTTTGCTTTGGTATTAACCTGTTTCTAATGGACTTGAGTGAAAGCAATGGGAAAATATACCTGTGGAGGATTATCTTGCTCAAAACTCTCCATTTGCTTTCACACTTCTAAGTTGGTGCAGCCGTTTTCAGTGGACAGCATGTGATTGTTTCAATGGTAAATCTGTTTAATAAACTACTGAAAATATTTTCCATTGAGAGTATTTCAGGGAAAAATTATGCTTTTCAGCTATTACTTTGTTGCATTGCTTTGTAACAAATTCTGATAAGTCTGACTTGGTACAACTTAATGTAAGAAATAGCATCATTTGTAAGCAGTGCCTGTTTTTTTTGGAAATTATATAACTTTCCTAATTATTTTTCTAATTAATTGTTTTAATTTACTTTTAAATTAATTGTTTTAATCAATAATAAGCAGGGTATTAATAATAAGCAGTAGAGTTTTCCATTTTAGCCAACACATAGTTAAGTTTTTGCAGAGACTGCTGTTGTTGAAGAGTGATTAGAAAGTCACTGAAACTTTAAGTTTTGCTAAACTGACCCTGATAAGCTTCAATGAACAAAGCATGACTAAAACTTTTAAAATCAAGTTTTAGGAAATACACTGATTTATGTAGTCTGGAAGTCACAAATGTAAGTTAAAGAAATTATGAGTTCTCTAATTTCCTTAAAAAGCTTCATTAAATAGAACATAAAAGAAGTCATATAGCTGATAGCAGGCATAGATCAAGATTAGAAATATCTGAGTCAACACCTAGTAATTAATGATAGAAATGGTTTAAAGGAAAGACAGGGACGGTAAGATCCTTAACATCCATTCTGTCAGGGGTATTCTGCATATTAGGGTCTGTTGCCTAAAAAATGTTTTAATTTAAAAGTCAAGTAGCTGAGGTTGATCCTGAAAGATGAACTTGGTTCAAATTTTTATGTCATCACCAACGAAGAATATGGCACAATAATGAATAAACCAGACCCTGTAAATGTCTGGGCATGTATGCAGGCCCAGATCAGGTTAGATAACCCCCAGTGGAACCTGTTCTCAGATGTGCTCATCAGCAATGCAAGGAAGGCTCTGACCTGTTGGTATTCATCCCAAAGCCTTGAGATGCTGGGGAAGGCACCAGGCAGCCCTCTGTGTGTCCCTGCCAGCAGAGCTGGCCCAGCTGCCAGGGCTGGGCAGGTCCTGTGTGGTTCCCTGGCCAGGAGCTTTGGAGTGCTGGGTCCTGCAGGGGCACAGCAGGCAGAGAGAGGCTCTTCCATTCTGGGAACCACTGGCCTTGGGTGCTGCCATCCTCCATCTGCTGTGTCCCTGGAGCAAGAGCCTTGCTGGGCTGAGGTTCAGACTTTGACCTGTACCCTTTTCTGAGTTCTCTGCAGTAAAATATGGGGCTGATAGCAGGTGGAGTTCTAGAAAAAGCTATAGGATCCTTCTCTTCAGAATAATGAAATATGTACATCCTATGATGTGTATGTTATGTGGTTCTAGCATTGCCTTAGAGGTTTTAAATCCCCCAGAACTTAACTTGTAGCAGAATTAGTGAAACTCCAGCATCGTATACTTAGTGACTACAATAGAAAAAGTTTTACACTAAATAAGTTCTTGTCACCACACTAATATTTATG